CTTCAGAGCCAGGATTGAAAGAACTTTGGACTTGAATTAATTTTTCTTTGAAATGCTATCTAAGTTGGGAAATATCCCTTGGCTTCTGTGTTTGTTCACATCTTGAAAGAAAGATCTTGAAAAGACTCAGGAGAAGAGAGCACATCTTTGGCAAATCCAAAACTCCAGTTAAATGGCAGGAAAGACGGCCAAGCTTTTACCTAAAGTGCTCTAAATCCTCTAAATTACAGTGTTTTTTTGTTTGTTTGTTTTGCCAGGATTGGGGGTGGGGGGGCGTCAGGACATAGGAAGAGAATGATAGGACGAGATTTCTGAGACAAAGAATAAATGGTAGGGGATAGCATTTGTTAAATATTTGAGGAACCAAAGCATGTTTAATAGTGAAATATCTTTTCTCTGTAACCACTCCAAACATACGAAGAGGTGGCTTTTTCAGGGTGTACATAGTTGTTGAGAAGTAAGAATTTATTTTCCTCCTCTAAATTAATATGCAAAATACTGCTTTTCCTTTTTGTGTTAGCTTAATTACTATATGATTTCTCTAGCTGAAAAATGAAGACAATTATTCTGTCTTTCCTGAAAAGGCGATACTGGCCAAATATCTCCTGCAGCAATCAAAAGTAATAGAAAACCAGGGATGCAGTTCATGTGAACATAAGCCACACAAATACAAAATTAATGGTTGCCTTGGAGAAGCATGTGCCTCTCTTTACTTTGGGTGGGAAATATATTAAAAAAGTTTACATGAAACAAAAGTGGAACCTACTATGTGATGTTTAATATGAAAGAATAGAATTTATTCCGAGGTCCAGTAAGAAAAATCATATGGGAATGTTCTGTAGGCCAACATTTTTATGTTTTAATTTTTATTTTGAAATAATTTTAGTTTTACAGAAGAGATGCAAAGATGGTGAAGAGAGTTTCTGTATCCAATGACCCAGATTTCCCTAATGTTAATAACTTATAAAACTATGGAATATTTATCAAAAAGAAGAGGGTAACATTGGTACTGTCAAATTAAATAACAAACAGACTCTCTAAAACAAAGTGATATTTACTTGGGGGTAACATGGCAGTTGGAATATGCAATATTACCATAGTAGACAATGTATATATTCAAGGAGATTGAGGCAAGGAGGAATATTTATGGTAAAATGAGGAGGATTACATAAGTTGTTTTGAGATAATTAATCTGAGGTATAAAAATCAATAACAAGGGTGGCACCAGTCTAAGGTTAGCCTGGCAGTTGTTGGGCAGATATCCTTGCAGAAGAATTTTCTGTGTTAGGCTGGCTTTGTGCAAGGTTGTGGTTTTTGCAACCTTTAGTGATAGTTCCTGTTATCAGGCATACATGCATGAGAACTCTCCATTTATGCCCTTCCTCAGCTCCGTTTGTCAAGGTTTTCACACATGTGACTTCATGTTGCTTCTGGCAACTTTCATCGTGAAATATTAGTAACTAGGCTAGAAACCTTATTTTTTATAGCTTTTTTCATTAATGTCTTCTTTCTAAGATTCGATCCAAGATACCATACTGCATTTGGATATTACGACTCCCCAATCTCCTCCAATCTATAATAGTTTTTTAGTGTTTTCTTGTTTTTCATGATATTGACACTTTTGAAGAATATTGGTCCACTGCTTTGTAGAATGTTTCTCAACTGGTATTTGATGTTTTCCCAGGAATAGGGTGGGGTTATGATTTTTTAAAAATAATATTTATTTTAGAGTAATTTTAGATTTACAGGAAAATTAGGAAGATTCAGAGCTGGAGTTCCTATATATCCTACACCCAGCTGCTCCTATGATTAACATTTTACGTTAGTATGCTGTACTTGTCACAACTAATGAAATTATGTTGATAAGTTACTACTAACTAAAGTTCGTGCTTTATTCAGATTTCCTCAGTATTTACCCAATGCATCTTCTGTTCTGGGATTCCATCCAGGATACGATGCTGCATTTAGTTGGCATGTCTCCTGTTACATTCCCTTTGGCTGTGACAGTTTTCTCTGGTTTTCATTACTTTTGAGGTCATTGGAATTTTGGAGTACTGATTAGGTATTTTTTAAAATGTCCCTGAATTAGGATTTATCTGATTTTTTTCCGTGATTATTTAGGTGTGTTGAGGAGAAGGCCACCAAGTGTTATTTTCATGACCTGATATGGGTATGTGCTATTTATATGAATCATTGCTGTCAACATTAATCTTGAGCACCTGGCTAAGGTAGTATGTTAGGTTTCTCTACTAGAAATTTACTCTTTCCCCCCTTTACAAATTGTATTGTTTGTAAAGAAATCACTGTGCACAACCCACACCAAAGTACTAGGGAGTGGTGCTTTCCTTTCTTGAGAGATGTCACTGAATCTACTTTTGCACACAGGGTTTATTCTAACCTTTCATTCTTGCTTATTTGCAACTTCTTTCTTCCAACAGTGAAAAACTGGCTCATGTTATATACTATGTATTTACTTATTGTTTCCTCGTATATGGGTGAGTTAGTTTTAGCATTGCTAACCCATACTCCTAGGATAAATAAAATTGCCAACTAGGGTGTAGTGTTTTCATACAGGTATTTTTGTGTTAGAGTATCCAATCCAAAACAGTATTTCCCAGAGTTACTTAGATCAGCTGTTTCTCTTCAACCCTCGTCAATGAGATTATAACATACATTTGTAATATAGTTAAATTAATTTATTAAAGAAAAAGAAAACCATGAGTTCCAACTTAGACTTTACCACCCAGAAGGGCTTTCTGAGTCTCTGTTTCTTTATCTGTCCAGAGATATTGTAGGAATCTAGGAAGATGCTGTGCATCCAACATCCCACATGTGGTAAAATACTATGCCATGCTGACCATCACCATAATTGCAACTGAGTTCATTCAGCACGTTTTGAGCACAGCCAGTTTGCCAAGCACTGTGTTGGTAGCGGTAGCAGAAACAAGTAAGATTCCTGGGTCTGAGACAAATATTTTTTTGAAAGAGGAGACACTTGTATGGTGACACAGGTGAGGAGACCCAAGTGTGGTAGGAACACAGCACACAGTGTAACAGCTGTCTCCATTGTTCATGTTGGCTTAGCCAGTAAGTAGAGATGGGTGAGGCAAATATACAGATATCAATACTTAGATTAAGTGTGCTGTAGTGGAAAGAGCATGAGCTTTGGGTCAAAGAGAATACTTTGAATCTCATTAGTCATATGGCGATTAAATTAGTCAATAGTCCTGGGCAAGTCGGTTCGCTTCTCTGAGCCACAGGGCATTGCAATTATTAATCAATATGTGACAGGTACTTGATCCATTCACTCGTTCACTTATTCAACAAATAATAACATTGTTTAATATAAGAGGTTAGCTAGGCTGACAGGAGATAAACATAAAATACATGAAACTGATTATTTTTTATAACGATGAATCATATGAAGATAATAAAATAGGATGATGTCATAAAGTGACAGAAAGGGATACATTAGATTGGTTGGCTAAGAAACTACTTTCTAAAGAGAATTTTTTTTTTAGCTGAAATGTGAATTATGAAAGGGAGCGACTATGCTCAGTGGACTGTTAATGTGAATCTAACAAATGATTATTACAGAACCCATGTTTTTGCCTTGGAAAGTACATATCAAATAACAGTTTGGGAAAGGACCCTAGAGATAATCATAACCTGTGATCATGTTACCTTTAGAATGTGTCACAATAATTTAAGGAGCTAGAAAGATCTGATGCTTATTTTATTTGCATACTTTCTTATTTATTTGCATACTTTCTTATGTATTATCACATGCCATCATTCCTTCTTCTAAGTAGCGTAACAGATTCTTGAGATACTGTTTCAGTTGTCTTTTCCTAGTCAAGCTCTTCCTCTCAGTACCTGGGTTATGGAATTCTATCTACAAATCTTTACGGATGGTGGCATAAAAGATTTTGAAGCTGAATTTCAGAAAAGACAAGTGGAAATCTGAAGCTAGGGGCTTTTTCCTGGACCATAAGAGGGACTGTCCCTAAGGAAAGGTGCCCTGAGACACCTTCTCTCTGTTTTCCTTCCTTTTGTTACCTCCATAACTGTGGGAGATTATGTTAACAGCAATATTTAGAGAAGCCTCAAAAAAGTAAAATGTAAACAGTATTCAGTGTTAAGGTTTGATGTGCTTTTTATTATATTTACATAATTTTCTTCAAAAAGAAATATTACAATCATATATAAATTATTACTAAGTAGTATAATGGCACTAATGCACTCAAGAAAACATCGTTATCAAAACTTGACATTTTTATATATTTTAATTTTTTTCTTTGCTCATTCAAAAACATACACCCACAATTAAATTGGTTGGATTTTGTAACAAGATGAAATCAAACTGTTCATATTGTTTCTAAACCTGCGCTTTTTATTCATTAATAAGTCATGTATTGTTTTTAAGTACGTAGAAGATAGTGTTGTTTGTCAACCTGTGATGCACATTATAATCATTTGAGGATCTTTGAAAACAATGCACACGTCCACACCCACACCTGTAGAGATTCTGATTCAATTAGCCTGGGGTTCAATTAGGTTGAAAGTACCCAGATGAATCTGCAGGGCAGCTGGGCTGGGAGCTATCGATGTGGATGCCTCTTTTTTTAAAAAAAATTATATTTGGATGTACCATAATTTACTCTACAACCTGTTTCTATTTTCACAAATGTATATTTATGTTAGGTTAAGTTTAGCAGAACCTAGTTATCTTTTCTCCTGTATACAATTTTCCTTAGCTGGAAGCTGGCTTTGTAATTAGAAGCCACAGTAAATGATACAAGCTTAGATTTGACCCCAGAAAAGGCAGATAACAACGCTGAGCAGGTGTGGCAGCTCAGGGCTAATCTGCAGGTTAATTTTTGGCTTTCTGGTACTTTCTGATGATTCATGCTCATTTAATCTCATTACCAAGCCACCTGGCACCCAAAAGACCCCATTAGTGCAACTGGCCATCTGACATGAGTGAGTATTAACATCACCAGTTTTCCTGCTTCATGGATTAGACGTTTGGTTGCCTGCTTTTCTGCTAAAAGATCTCATAGAAGGTCCTGAGGAAGCAAAATAGAGGGCAAATAAATCTTACATCTTTCACTGGGCTACAGGATACAAGGTAAGAGAAATTATTGAGTTAAACCAGTCAGCCTTGCAAAACTTGATATTGCATGCAATGGTGACCGGATGTGCCCTTATTGTTCAAAATCTGTGCCTGTGCTTAAAAAGTTTTCCGAAAGAAATATAAGGAAGGGAACTTCAAGGGAATTATATTTAAACTTGGATTTTGTCTTCTACGAGAGGCTAGTCCTTGTAGATAAGAATTTGTTTGAAAAGAAATGTGTATTGCTATTGCGTAAAGATAGTGCTGGGATGGTGTTTTTTTGTTTTGAGGGTTTTGTTTGTTTGTTTTTCTTTTTGAGTGCTTCTTTCTCCCCTCCCGAGCCTTGGATCTCCCCTCTGCTGAGACTGGTTTAAAATTCCATCCTGTGATTTTAAGAAAATTCAATACTGACAGATGCAATGGTTGTAATTGCTGACAAAAATATGTGTTTGAGGCTAAATTTACCCTTCTCAATCCACAGGAAAGACTGACTCTGCTAACTTTATTCGTTTTTTCAGCTTGTATTCATTGAGTGCCTGTTTGTTATGTGTCAGGCACTGTTCCAGGGCAGAAAGTCAGTGAACGAAGCATATACGTGGTCTCCTCTTTCATGGAGCTAGCAGTCTGGTAGACAAATAGATGAAAACATAATAGTTGGAACATAATTCAGGGAAATTCCCTCTTCTTTCTCTGTTTTTACTCTTCTCCTTTCTACCTCCCTTGAATTCCTTCCTCGTTTTTTCTGGCCTCTCAATGAGGAAGCCCATCTGAGGACCCCAGTGCTGAACTCTCTGAACCTGTGGAAAAATCACACGCTGCATCCTCTTATGCAGCTGGGTGATAAGGTCTTACAGCCTGCAAGGAGGACACAGTGAAATTGTCCCTAGTGAGAGACCAACAGCTGGGTCATGGGGAGGGTGGCCTGAACTAACACCCCAGCTAGAAAGTGGATGCACCAGGTGGGAGGTGCTAGATTCAGATCTGTGAAATCATAAGCCATCTATATGGCTAAATGAAAGGCATATTTATAGAGCTATGATTCTTTATTGAAGAAATAAAATGCAAGTGGTACAAACCGTCCCTTAGATATAGTGAGTGCTTGGCTCAATTCATGAGCTGAACTGAAGAAACTTGATGACAAATGAGTCACTCCACAGAGGATGTGAGGGGGTCATCATGGATTTTAAAATTGATGTAACAGAGCCAGTTATTCTGCCTCAAACCACCCCTTGAGCCATTATCAGAGGTGGATCTCTGGTTTAAAGGTTTTATAATGACCCTGAAGTGGGTGGGTGGGTGCACAGCAGCAATCAATATACTTTTTCTGTAAGAGGTCAGTTAGTAAATATTCTAGGTTATGTGAACCATGAAATGGTCTCTATAGTAATTACTTACTCAACTCTGCTGCTGTAGCTCTGAAGCAGCTATAGACGGGCTGTGTTCCAATAAAAGTTTACAAATAGAGGCTATGGGCCAGATTTGGCCCAGGGCAGTACTTTGCTTAACCCTGCTCTGCTGAAAGCATAGATCGAAGAGGCAAGAGATCTAGGTGAGAATTCCAGCTTTTGCACTATCTCTCGGAGGAGTGACCTTGGGCACGTCATATTGTGTATTTCTGAGAACTAACTTTTCGAAGGAAAATGGTGAAAGCTATTTTATTTCTCTGGGTTGTGGTGAGAATTATGTGACATCACAGCTTTGGAAATTATTTGGGGAGAAATTTGTGATTGTATTTTTATTTTTTATTTATTTATTATTTTTTGAGACAGAGTCTTGCTCTGTCACCCAGGCTGGAGTGCAATGGTGCGATGTCAGCTCACTGCAACCTCCACCTCCTGGGTTCAAGCAATTCTCCTGCCTCAGCCTCCCAAGTAGCTGAGATTACAGGCGCCCACCACCACACCCAGCTAATTTTTTGTATTTTTTAATAGAGATGGGGTTTGGCCATTTTGGCCAGGTTGGTCTTGAACTCCTGACCTCAGGTGATCCACCTGCCTCGGCCTCCAAAAGTGTTGGGATAACAGGCATGGGCCACCGCGTCCGGCCTGGGGAGAAATTTTTAAAACTGCATACAATCCTAAGGAGGTCATATCTTACCAGACTTTTGAATTAAAGCATACGGCTTTGCATTTAATGGGAACAACTGCTCACCATCTTTAAATCAGAAGCACATTTTGCTTCCTCTGTTTCTTATGTTTCTACTGTTCCCTTCGTCACTTTTCTTCTTGTCCCTGATATTCCAGGTTTAGTTGTAGATGCAACATCAACTCATAGTAAGTGTATAAACTTTCCTGTAGCTCATTTTTGAGAATTGACTTTTAAGTCCCCTGAAGCACCCACTACTGTCTTCTCCCTTCAAACTACAATACAGTTTTTTCTTGATATTCACAAGGAATTTGTTCCAGAACCCCCATGAATAGCAAAATCCAAGGATGTTGAAGTGCCTGATATAAAATGGTGTAGTGCTTATATATAACCTAGGCACATCCTCCCCTGTACTTTATGGCATCTGTGGGCTACTTATAGTACCGAGAATACAACATAAATGCTATGTAAATAGCTGTTATACTGTATTTTTACCTGTATTATTTTTTACTCTTGTATTTTTTTGGTTTCTTTTTCCTGAATGTTTTTCTGTTTGAGATTTATTGAATCCGAGGATGCGGAACCTGTGAGTGCAGAGGCCCGACTGTATTTCCTGTTGACAGGAGCAAGCATTTTACATGATTTGATTGCAGCTGTTAGTGCAGAGTGGTTAAACTGCATTTAGAAATAAGTGTTAAAATAACGGTTGACAGGGAAGCTTCTTAAAAATCACGTTTTCTTCATGTTTCATGTTTTTCCAGCTGTTAGGCAGCAGCCAGGGGTTTATTATACATTGGAGGGCAGGCCTGGAAGCAGCTTCTTCTGCTCCCCCAACACACATTTTCATTTTGAGTAAAGACTCCTTTGCTCCAGGAGAGGCACGTGGCTGCCTTTGAAAGGGTGCGTTCCTCCATGACCCTCTGCTCCATCAGGGTGATCTTCAGAGGTGGGGAGAAAGTGACTATATTGGTAGGAGAGTGAGAAGAGGCTGCTGTTTACTAGCTTCTGGCCTTAGGCAAGCCATTTATACCTCTAGGTCTCTCTTTCTGAAGAAGTTTGAAACTGTAAGAAATTGAAACTGGAAGCAACTGAAATTGAAAGCAGTTGAAACTGGAAGCAACTGAAATTGCTTCCAACTCTTCATTTTTCTTTGATTCTTATTCTGGCTACAATGAGGAAACAACTAAGATTCCATCTCTGATTCCTGCCAGAGATTGACCCCATATCAAGGCTGGTGTGCAGGTGGAAAGGGAAAGTTGATGTGTCCACTCATCAGTACAAGGGAGCCTGATGTCTTGGTGCCCCCACGTTCTGACTGGGTGGTCCTATTCACTGACCCTCCTGGCTGGAAGACTGAGTGGACAGCAGGACATCAAGGGCAACAGGGCCCTTGCTGTGTTCCTGGGGAACCATGAGAGAGCCTGAGCCAGGCCAGGAAAATCAAGCATCCAGGCCAGCACCTGCCCCTCACTGGGTGTTAGATAAACATTTGCCTATTTAAAAATATTTACCTATTTATCTCTTCTCACCTCAGTGGGAGGAGACCACACAGCAGAGATTCAAGCGCCCCAGGGGGCTGTTTGCTGTACCTTGACCTCTTGGTCAGAGAGTGCTTGGTGGTCTCTGGTCTGAAGGAGTCAATACTTGAATGATATTTATAATCAGCTCCATTTCATTCATGTATTTTTTTCTTTTATTCCTTCATTTGGTATTTATTGCTTTAATGTCAATGATTCAGTAGTCACAAGGCAGTTGACCCTCATGGAATTTACATTGTCACTATATGGTTCAGCCTATCTGGACTCTCCAAATTGCATGACCTCCATAAAGCCTTTACAGGACAGCTCAGATTTGTGCTGTGAGAGATTGCAATTGTTTGTGTTGTTGTGGGATAACACAGCAAGCGGCATTTTCCCATTTTAAAGTGGGTCGGATAATGTGTGCTCCACATAACCCACCAGATGAATGTGAGACAAAATTCTATGCAATACATTCTAAATCACAAAATGGCATGCAAATTTAAAACTCACAAATCATCTCTTATATTGGTATTTAATGTATTTTTGCTTTGTGCTTCAAATGAATGTCCCTCCACACTTTCCACTCGTGATTTTAAGATGTCTTAAAGAGGCTCACCCTGTTGGGATGCCTAGCACTGTTTACCCTCAGATAACATGCTTTTCTGGTTCTCTGCTGGTTATTTTTCACTGGGTTCCACACACATTTTATTTTATTTTATTTCCAGAACTTCGCTCATTTTGTTTCTTGCTCATTTTCTTTTCTTGTTTGAGGAGGAGTCTCGCCCTGTTGCCAGGCTGGAGTGCAGTAGCACAATCTCGGCTCACTGCAACCTCTGCTTCCCAGGTTCAAGTGATTCCCCTGCCTTAGCCTCCTGAGTAGCTGGGACTACAGGCACGCGCCACTATGCCCAGCTAATTTTTGTATTTTTAGTAGGGATGGGGCTTCACCATGTTGGCCAGGATGGTCTTGATCTCTTGACCTCATGATCTGCCTGCCTCAGCCTCCCAAAGTACTGGGATTACAAGCGTGAGCCACTGTTTCTTGCTCTTGATTTCTAGTTCTAACTGTGTTTCCGGATTCTCTTGTTCCATGTGCTGCTGCATAAATCTTATGAATTTTAGCCAACAGAACACCTTGTCCGCATTGAATACACAAACAGTTCCCACAGCTAAATTAAGCAGGTTCAACTTGTAAAAGTCCATGAGATCATGAGCCACTACCTTTGTGATTGTACCTAATTAATCAATCAATGAATGTTTAAATAGAAAATGCCATTATGCTGTAATGCTGATTGTAGCTTTCTTGTAACCCCCACTTGTCAAACATCACAGTCATTCTATGGTTCAGAAAATCATTTTATGTTATTTTAAAAATATTTGATGACATCAAAACTAATGTTGTACTCTTGG